ATTTTTATTTATTTATTTTTTGCTCAATGCTTAATTTTTTGTTTACAAAACTTTATTTTATTTTGCAAGTGTATATGGCACTAAATTGACTCCATACAGTGCGAATATAAAACTCCAGTAAAATAAGCAAAACAAAAGTGCGTAAGTATCAATATAAAGTTGGTTTTATATTGGTATATTCAGGCATTCTCCTTAAAAATATAATTTCAGAAAAGTCTTCTGTGTAAATTCTAAATAGGGAAATCATATTAGCAGCAAATGACTATTAAAGTACAACATAGTTCACAGTCAATTAGATAGTGTTGATGTTGTTTAGAAGTCATACCTGCATGCTTATTCCTATCGAATATTCAAAGTAACATGATAAACAATATAGAGACTGCTAAATGAATGAATGTGTGAATATAAACCAACTTTACCTCTATAGTATCAATGACTGTAAAAAGGTAAGTATGCTGTGAATCCATCAGTGATGCTCGGAGGAGAATCTGCTGTGGATCCTCTGAACAGATCTGAATAACTGACCTGGAGTCAGTGTGCGCTGCTGTTCATAATGGTGCCGCTGGGGAGGAATGAGGACAGGACCCGATACACAACATTACCGAGGCTTCGAGCGTCTTCATAACACTGGTAAATGCTTGACATATTTATTTTAACTCCTGCTGTTTTTGCGGTTCACACGCGTGTGGTTGTCGCTCAGACATTTCAACGGCTTGTCTTCGTTTTATTCGATTCCCACTTCAATGCTAACGGGTTAAACGTGTTAGCATACATCCACCCTGCATAACATTTCAGCGCTTAACTGTCACGTATTCACAGTGTTCGCAGTATTTAGCATTTCACCGTGATATAACGACACCTTTAGCTGCTCCTTTGTTTAAAGACAATGTAAATTGTAGCGTATAAACGGTCATTAATGGCGTGCTAATGAAGCTAACGCCTGTCATTGATGTGAACAGCTTACCAGTTTAGCCTGTTAGCATTTTGGGGGAGTATTAATACATGAACTACCACAATTATTTTATACATATATGAAAAATGTGTTGCTTAATTATTTCAGTCCTCTGGATATTGTTAATGTTGGTCGGACAGAAGCAGATGAACTAATGACTGGAGCTTCAATATACAGGTGAGCTAATCATGTAGCAGTCTTGACATGACAGTTTGTTTTCTTATACAGAACATCAGTTTTACGGTAAATAAATGCCTTTTAGGAGTGCATGTCGATTATGTATGCGTGTTTTTCGGATTTGTGGTGTGTTGGCAGTTTTTTATATGCGTGTTTACCATCATAAATATAAACATTTTTTATGCATGAATGTGATCGTCATCAATGTCAAAGTGAGCATGAAACTTCTCGAAAGTGTCCAGAATGACTGAAGGGACAGGGGCCGGATATAAAAAGCACCTTCATCAGGGCTGAAAGATATTTATGAAGGTTTTTTTGTTGTCACAATGTGTCTATCACTTTGAGACATAATGTCCTCTTTGTATCTGTCTTGTAGGATGAGAAATAGGCATTCAGAAATGCAGTGTGTCTCAAATCATGCTCACTCAGTCAGCTGCCTTCCTAGTCTGCATTTTCGAGTATAATAACCTATTTTGTTGTCTTCCTAGATAGTGTTTTGGCATTATTCTGCCATTTTGGGTGTCATGAAATGTACTAAAACATCCCAGCAAGCATTGATTTGTTTTTAAAAGATGTCTAATAGATGTCTAATAGACGTCTATACCTATTCGTCTCTAAAACAGTCTCTGTCAGTCTCTGTCAGTGAAAATCTTATAGATGTCTAAGAATAGACCAAAACTACACTAGCCATTAAATAAACAGAAATAAATAACTATTCATATAAATTCCGTCTATTTGACGACTAAATAGGGGTAGTTGGTTTTATGTTCGTTCATTTAGCAGTCTCTATATTGTTTATCATGTCACTTTGAATATTCGATCGGAATTAGCATGCAGGTATGACTTCTAAACAACATTAACTATCTAATTCACTGTAAACAATTTTGTACATTGATCGTCATTTGCTGCTAATATGATTTCCCTATTTAAAATTTGCAAAGAATACTTTTCTGACATTATATTATTAAGGAGAATGTCTGAATATCCCAATAGAAAACCAACTTTACCTCTATTCGTTTTAAGAATATTAGATGTCTATTAGATTTTCACTGACAGCCCAGGTTTAGCCTTGTTTTAGCCAAGCTCTCTATTAGATGTCTATTAAACACAGCATTGTTTGCTGGGGTAATTCATTATATTTAGTAAGGAGTCTTGATACAGTAGGTAAAATAATAATCTTGTTTATGACCTTAAAGCATGTTGTCTGAAGTGATTGTTTGCTTGCTAGGGTTTGTATATGTGTATATGTGAGAGTGAGAGATTATTTGTTGTATTTACACAGCAACAGTGGTTTCAGGTTGCAAATACACCTTTACCCTGATTGTTTGGATGGTACAGTAGTGTAAAACACAAGCCAGAACTTGTTTGCCTGCATTGTCCTAGTTTCTTGATTTTGGAATGTGATAAATGTTTTTCCAACACATTATGTAAATATTTTATATGAATATGTTATTTATTACAACTGTATTCTAGAGCTGTATGCTATAACATGCAGTTTTTATAATGATTCAGTAAGGGAAAATATTGTGTTATTATTCTTTTTGTACTGTAATAGTGTGTGTTAACAGTATATATGTATATATATATATATATATATATATATATATATATATATATATATATATATATATATACAGTTGTAAGTCAGAATTATTAGCCCCCCTGTTTATTTTTCCTCCAATTTCTGTCTAACGTTGAGAAGATTTCTTCAACATTTCTAAACATAATAGTTTGAATAACTCATTGCTAATAACTGATTTATTTAGTCTTTGCCATGATGACAGTAAATAATATTTGACTAGATATTCTTCAAGACACTTCTACACAGCTTATAGTGACATTTAAAGGCTTAATTAGGTTAACTAGGCAGGTTAGGGTAATTAGGCAAATTATTGTATAACGATGGTTTGTTCTGTAGACTATTGAATAAAATAAAGCTTAAAGGGGCTAATAATATTGACCTTAAAATGGTATTTAAAAATTTAAAACTGGTTTTATTTTAGCCGAAATAAAACAAATAAGAATTTCTCCAAAAGAAAAAATATTATCAGACATATTGTGAAAATTTCCTTGCCCTGTTCAACATAATTTGGGAAATAATTAAAAATAAAAATATCTATATATATTTCTGTCTGTCTGTCTGTCTGTCTGTCTGTCTGTCTGTCTGTCTGTCTATCTATATATATATATATATATATAATATATATATATATATGGTTCTATTTTTAATATTAAATTAAGCTTTTTCTTACTATTTAGTAATCTGCTCTACATTTTGAACTGATTTAAATTGCTTGTAAAGGCAGCATTTCTAATTTTCTTTAAAGTTTGAAGATTTTCATCTGATATTTATAATTTATTTAATGTCAATTTTTGGGAATTGGGATTTATTTATCAGCTGAAAACTTATTTATTTAATAACCGAAATCTGGAATCTTATGCTTCAGATCAAAATACAAGTTTTAGTTTATTTACAGTAGGACCTTTACAGAATATCTTCATGAAACATAATCTTTACCTAAAATTAAGTTTTTGGCATAATAGAAAAATCAATAAATAAACAAATTCAATCTGTTTTTCACTGTTAATAAAATACATATGTAGAACATAAGACTAGTCTTGTGGTCCAAGGTCACATGTTTTTTTATTTAATTTTAAATTGTTATTCGTTACTAAAATATTTTTTCCTTATTTTATTTTTTTCTATCCATCCATCCATCCATCCATCCATCCATCCATCCATCCATCTACCTGACAAAAGTCTTGTCAACAAACAATAACTTCTAGTTGATCATTTGGTGTCAGAAGTGGCTTAAGTGAAAGACAAAGGCCTCTAGATAACACTTATTTGACCAAAATAAAATATGATGCCTTGATTTTTAATTATTTAATTAGGTCAGTAAGGTCTGACTCTACTTAGACAAAAGTCTTGTCACTTATAAGAAATAATGTCCAGTATAGAATATAAAGTCATACTGCAGTGGAGACCGAATGAATATTGTATCTGACTCCATCATGAGCTTGGAGGACTGCATCCATACATCTCTGACATGACTCAAATCACTGATTAATAAAGTCATCTGGAATAGCAAAGAAAGCGTTCTTGCAGGACTCCCAGAGTTCATCAAGATCCTTTGGATTCATCTTCAGTGCCTCCTTCTTCATATTACCCAGACATGTAATCTGGTGACTGGGCTGGCCAATCCTAGAGCACCTTGACCTTCTTTGCTTTCAGGAGCTTTGATGTGGAGGCTGAAGTATGAGAAGGAGCGCTATCCTGCTGGAGAATTGCCCCTCTCCTGTGGTTTGTAATGTAATGGGCAGCACAAATGTCTTGATACCTCAGGCTGTTGATGTTGCCATCCACTCTGCAGATCTCTCACACGCCCCCACACTAAATGTAACCCCAAACCTTGATTTTTCCTTCACCAAACTTGGCTGATTTCTGTGATAATCTTGGGTCCATGTGGGTTCCAGTAGGTCTTCTCCAGTATTTGTGATGATTGGGATGCAGCTCAACAGATGATTCATCTAAAAAATGGACCTTCTGCCACTTTTCCAAATGATAAACTAGAAGTGAAGTTATTATTATTGCTCTTACTATTGGCATCGACGACAAAACTTTTGTCAGTTTTTTTTATATATATATATATATATATATTTTATTAATAAAAAATGTAAAAGTTTTCCTTTGTTTTTTTCCAAATTTATTGCACAATATTGTATTTTTTATTTTGCGTAGAACTCATTTCCTGTGTTGTTATTGTAAGTCAGTTTCTGATTCATTCTGATAAAATGCTGTTTTCAGTTTAACCAATTGTCATCATTTCCCAGGACGATTGTTGCCTTTAACATCTTTAAACCTATTCCAGACGCAACAAAAGCACGCACGTGGACACAAACCCAGGATTGAGCTTCTCCGTCAGGATCATGGGAGAGAATGGCCCTCTCTCGGAGACAGCCATGCTCTTTGAAGACGAGGAAGAGGATGTGGACAAACTTGGCCGAGAAGAGGAAGACGAGGACAAGATGGCAAACTTTGACAAAGACGGCAACATGATCTCGGGCCCCTCGTCCTCCTCGGGAACCGTCTACGATCGCACCACCGTTCTCATCGAGCAGGACCCGATCCGTCTGGATGAGGAAGGAGAAGAGGACGGTATGACGTTCCTGCCGGAGGGAGAGGGAGACGAGGGATCTCTGGCCTTCATGGGTGACCCTGACGGCATGTCACAGGGGTACATCCACCACACCATCTCGCCGGACCAAATCCAGTTCATCATTAACCCCGGGTCCACACCTATGCCACGAAACATCGAGGGCGCCACGCTGACATTACACTCTGAGTGCCCAGAGACCAAGCAGAGAGAGGTGAGGGCTTTTATCTTGTGTTATGCGAATTAGCTGTGTTTTTAAAAAATGCTCAGATGAATTTGCATAATGCTAGTTTCTGGTCTTCGTCAGCTGCCTTTGAGCAACGTCTGCTTTGACCCGCAGACTCTGGAGTTGTAGCTGTGAGGAGTTTGGCTTGTAATTTTTAGAGGTGTGAACCTATTCTGGTGTCTTGGTTCGGTTGCGATTATCATGCCTTCGATTTAATTCGATATCTCGGTGCTAGGGTTGTAACGGTATGAATTTTTTACGGTATTATAATCGTCTAAAACAATACCTTGGTTTGATGGTTTCGCAGTATACGGTATGTTACAAATGTTACAAAATAATAGAACAGTGAAGCAATTTTGACTTTTTTGTACAATGAACAAATATAAAAAAATAATAAAATAATAAATAATGTGTCAAAGTCCAAATAAAGTCCAAATAAACATGGTGCAAATCCTCAGTAAAAAAATAGATATAAATATTTACTATACTATAAATAGTTACATAACGAAACTAGATTTAATATGGAACATCCTTAGGTTTTATGTGCCAGCATGGATATGGTTGTCTGTGGATATGGATTTGGATATGGTTGTCTGCAATGCAGACAAACAGCCGCACCTTCATTTGCGTCTTTTGAAAACAGCAAGAGCAGCAGTTCGTCTTTGCTGTGTCACTGTTTTGTCATGTTTCTGTGCTGCTGTGCATGCAAAAGTACTTAGTATGAGAATTATTTCATGCAAAACTTTTTTTTTGCGTTTTATTTAGCTGAGCATAAATGTATGCCTATCTCTCATTCTGTGTTGTTCAAAAAGCTCGTTGGTCTACAAACAAAAGCGAAACCTATGCTTATTGGTTGTGATATAGCGAGTTTGAACCAATTTGGGCATGGAGGAGGGACAATGCATCAATGTATCATGTCTGGTTTGTCCGGAGACACAGTGACGAACGTTTCTTTGTCAAATCAGCATTGTCAAATTTTGATGACGTAACCGCACTGATTCCGAAGCCTCGGATCAAAAGTTATTAAACATTTAAGAGCAATACTTATTTTTAGCCGCGGGCGGCTGTCTCAGTCTTTAAGGGTTAAAACCGTTGATATGCAATTGTTCATGGTATGATAATCGTGCACTTTCAAATCGTGGTAGATCGTCATACCGGTATATTGTTACAACCCTACTCGGTGCATCACGGTGCATTGACGATGCTTTCCATACACAGTGTTATTTTTTGGGGGGAGGCTATAACAAGCTGTCTGTATAAACACACACACACACACACAGCATCACACGTCTTTCTTTCACACTCATTAACAAACATAGACCTCACCAAACAAACACACACACACACTTAAAGGCTGATTTATACTTCTGCGTCAAACGCCAGCGTATGCTACGGCGCTGACGCATAGCCCTTCGTTGTGACCATCGCCGATTGTTTACAAGTGTGGAGTCCCGTGAAGGAGCTCCGAATGGAAAGTTTTGTTTTGTGTTTACCTCTTAGTTAAAGTTGTTGCACGTCCGCCGGTTCCTGCCTCAAAATGAGCGAGTTTGAGCCACTTGTACATCCCGGAAGTGTTCAGGAAAAGCAAAAAAGCAGAGAAGAAACTCGACACAGAGGAACATTTACACCTCACTGCCCACTAGCGTTTCGGAAGTGTTAATGCAGACCAACAGAGACAGCGCGCAGAAGTATAAATGCACAGCCACGCGCGTTGCCTGCGCCGTGGGTTACGCCGGTCACTTGACGCAGAAGTATAAATCAGGCTTAAGCCCTCGCAATATGCGTTTAGCCGGGAAAGCTCGTGATGAGCGGAGTAAAAAAAAAAAGAAATGCTAAACTCTCTCGGCTAAACACATATTGCGAGGGCTTAAAGGGAGCAGTGGTCGTAATGTCGAGCGAAAAAAAAGAAAAAGACAGCTTTGAAACATAACCAGCTTTGTCTTTTTGTAGGAAACACACTTTAGATCTTTTTAGGGTTAGAGGTTTTTGAGTTATTGCCGCTATAACTGAATGTGTCTGGAATATCGAAAACAAAACCAACTTAACCGCGCTCATTTCTGGCGCCCCCCTGGATGTACAGTGTTTGCCTATACTGCCTATGTCACGGGCTGGCCCTGAGTTGGCTCCTCAGTGTTGTAAATACCGGCGCTCACCTCCCTCGCAACAGAGCGCGTAGGAGATAAATGACGTCAGTTCACGTCTGCATCGCGGTGCACCGAAAAAACTATTAATTTTGACATCCCTAGGAATTTTGTTCTATGAGACGTGAAAAGCAAATACTCCTTGCACTTCCGAAGGATTATGGCTTACACTCCAAAATATGCTTATGACCGTATTTTGTTGCTGCGATTTAAATATATATACATATATACATATATACAGTTGAAGTAGAGCTGCACAGTTAATCAAAAAAAAATCGCAATCTCGATTCGACCCCCTAGACCAGGGACTCCCAAACTTTTCAGCCCGCGACCCCCAAAATGACAATGCCAGTTACTTGCGACCCCCAATATCCTCGGAGGTGGTTATAATTACATAAACCTTGCATGCAATGGCGCACACATTCCAATCGACCAAAGTCTATTCTTTGTTTTATTTTTTGTATGTATGTCAGTGCTGTAAATGAGCCAGAAAGTTTAACCTGGTGTTATAAAATCAATCTGCTGCATCTGATGCTATTGCTGTGTCTTTAATATAATGTAATTACCTGAGAAGTAGCAATCCAATAGAACTAGTAACTATAAGCTACTATAGTAACTATATAGTAGTATATAGTAACCATTTTTTCTCTTCAGTAGGTTATGGATAAAATATGGTCATTCTTTTGGTTTAATAAAAATAAATAGATTTTTGGAAACCACCAGGCGACCCCCCCTTCATTGTCCTGCAACCTCTCGGGGGGTCCCGACCCCCACTTTGAAAACCACTGCCCTAGACAATCTTTATCCAGCATTTCTACAATTCTGCCAATCATATTTTCAAGTTCTGGAGAGAAGCAAAGGCGGCTGCACGAGTCTTTCATTGTTTCACATACATTGCTTAGCGACATGGACACCTCCAAATGGTGTTAAAAAAAGAATCACGTACTGTATTTATAAGGTATAATTCACCTAAAAATGTCATTTTTGTCTTCATATAATGCTGTATTCGCGGCCAGCAAATCACACGTGACTTGAGCTGCTGACCGTGAGCTGTTACCACAGAGAGGGCGGGTGCGCACTCTACTTAATGATAAGACGCGCGCACACGTCTACTTTAGTAGACAGAACCTCCATAGGCTGTGAATAACAGGTAATACAGTTGTAAATAAAATTCACAGAGTGATCATTTGAGAGCCGCGCGCGATGTATGAACAGCACTTGGCAGTGAAAATGAAACCGAAAGCATGCACATCATTCACATAATCATATTGCATTATAGAGTAATGATTACGACAAGCATTTGATATGTTTTTTCTTTCATAGCGAAAACACAGTTGTGCATGAAAATAAATGTTTACAGTGTCAGTATAACTACTCAAGCCTGTATGTTGATTTTACAAGTGAATAAAAGGGTCTAATAAGTTATCAATGACAGATTGCAAGCATATATCTCAAACATAATTCAACATCAGAATTATTATAAGTAGAATATAAATATTTATAGAAACCAGTAGACTTGCACATAATATTATTATCGTTATTTTACCATATGTTTGTGAAATAATAATAATAATAGCCTTCTCATATTAAGCTTTATTTTACATCTACAGAATCCTGAGAAAATCGTGATCTTTACTATGAGCAAAAAAATTATGATTCTCATTTTAGCCAGAATCGTGCAGCTCTAAGTCAAAGTCAGTATTTTTACTCCCCCTTTAAATTCATTCATTTTCTTAATCTTGGGTCGCCACAGCGGAATGAACCGCCAACTTATCGGCACGTTTTTGCGCAGCGGATGCCCTTCCAGCTGCAACCCATCTCTGAAAAACATCCACACACACACTCATACACTACGGACAATTTAGCCAACCCAGTTCACCTGTACCACATGTCTTTGGACTGTTGGGGAAACCGGAGTACCCGGAGGAAACCCCCGCGAACGCAGGGAGAACATGCAAACTCCACACAGAAACGCCAACTGAGCCGAGGATCGAACCAGCGGCCTTCTTGCTGTGAGGCAACAGCACTACCTACTGCGCCACTGCTTCGCCCCCTATTTATCACTATGGACCACGGCAGCTGACAGACATGCAGCACTATATGATTGTTTTGAGGATTGCATATGAAGGGGAGACGGCACCTGTAATGAAAAGAAAAGGAATCCCGCTGTTTTTATGTTTATTTCAAAGTGTTTTTATGCCTAAACAAAGCAAAAGCACAGAACAGACTTACATGGGTTAGGGTGGTTTGGCGGTATGGGTTGCGTATAGGGAGGATCGGCTCTTTAATGTTATTACCACCCTTCAGAGAAGACTAAAAATACGGGAGAAATACGGGAAAACACTTTTACAGGACCATAGAGGCATAAAACTGTAAAATACGGGAGAATCCCGGGGAAAAACGGGAGGGTTGACAGATATGGTAATAGCTTTTATAATGTTATAATGAAATTGTGTATGTAAGAAGGCTAAAGATTGAATCTCCACACTATAACTGCTCCATCTAACACATGTTTGAATGTTGGCTGTGACTGTCAGCAGTTTATTAGACTCATGCAAATCGTGGTTATTTATGAGTAAGATCATGTGGCCATTTAAATCGAGAGCGGACGTTGATTTCCTCTGGTTTTGGGAACAAATGATTACAAAACTCGCACATAATAATTGTGCCTGCTGGTGTTTCTGCAGGCAGTTCTGCACGTCCGTTTTGTTATTCACTGAAACAGGAGTAAATCGAGCACGAACAGCTCACAGAAACAGCCATTATATTATTTTATCTTTTTTTCAAGTTGAACCAAAACAAGACCTGATTAATCACTGTGTGTGTGTGTGTGTATATATTTATTTA